TTACCTCTTAATTGCTTTTTTTCTCACTATCCAACATGACTCGGGGTCGTAGCACATGTAAGGTTGTCATCTATAGGCAAATAGTGAACTCCGAAACACTATGAAAGTATAAAAGTACAGAAAACTAGAAAGAAAAGATTCGAATGTAAAAATGAATGGTTATTTTAGCGTTATTATTGGAAAGTAACTTCAAATTTGTCATGTAAAAATGTATAAATATATATATATATATATATATATATATATATATATATATATATATGTGTGTGTGTGTGTGTGTGTGTGTGTATGTATGTATGTATGTATAAAAAGTGAAAAAGTTATAGTTGTTCCAACGAGAGAAATGTGTATATATTAAAAAGAAGAAAGAAATTGCAAACGTCTTAGTTGTAATGTGGATTTTTTAAATATATATTATGCTTCACACACACACACACACACACATATATATATATATATATATATATATATATATATATAAATATATATTTGAAAATGTTTGAATTTTTTTGGTACACATGTTTGAGTAGACGCTCCGTTTATTTATTAAACACTATATTTATTTTCGTCTACCGGTCAGATTGATCGTCAAAAACCTTCGTGGCCGTGTCGGTCTAATGTACGTTGGATCTGTTTCTGCAGCAAAAGAGAACTCGGGTTCTAATCTTCCTGGAGCATGAATCTTTTTCTTTAATATTATTTCTCGAATATTCAGGCTACTAGGTGAAAATAAATAAATATACCGTTTAAAAATAAATGAAGAGTCTACTCAAATATGATTATGCATTAAAATAACGTTTAAAGTTATAAAATCTGTCAGATTAATAAAAATCCATCACTTCTTATTACAAACACACACACACACACACACACTCACACACATATATATGTATATATATGTGTGTGTGTGTGTGCGTGCATATATATATATATATATATATATATAGAGAGAGAGAGAGAGAGAGAGAGAGAGAGAGAGATAGAGAGAGAGAGAGAGTGCAGATCCACTAGAGTAGCATACCACGCAACCATTACCCCTAAACAAAATACGACAAACCATAATATCTACATTGGCATTTCTGCAGGAGAATTTAAAAATAACATCAATACACATAGACACTCATTCACCAATCCAAAATTAAAACATCCCTTTCGAAAAAATTTTGGGAATTGAAGGAAAAGGTTTTGAATTCTCAAATGAATTGGAAAATTCTAGGTTTCGTGACCCCCACCACCACCACCACCACCACAGTTTAAGGGATAGGTGCAAGCTGTGTTTAGAAAAAAATCAGAATAATAAAAAATATAGATCAATGCAAACTATTAAATCAACGGAGAGAACTAATCACGAAATGTAGACATAGAAATAAATTCCAGATTACATAAGAATGTGCATGTATGAAGATATGTACGCAATATAAGCTTGTTGGACAGCATGATATATTCCATTGGGTGCTCGGGTATTACCCGCAATCTACAAATCTATAATTCAACTAATTTGCATTAATCTTAACAGGTTTAAGTTTAAATCCCCCATAGCTTATTAATAATATTAGACACTTGTAGTACAAAATCTATTTACTATGAATCCAGGAAAAGCACACTTGGGGGCTCGTATAAGAAACGCCACATTATAGTAATTGATATTAAACTACAAACAACGAAAGGTCTTGGCCATAAATAAACTCCAACCCACACCGCTTCCCTCGGGATAAGATACTTTACGCCCCTACCAATCACTAACAGAAACCCATTCTCATTAACAAAGCATCTACCAAAGGAGGACTGACATTAAAAATAAATTTAAAACAGTGCTCATAGACAGAAACTTAGGGGCTGATGATAGCTGCGTACAGAACGGCTTGATCACAGGCTATATTATGTTGAGGTAATTTTTGTTTTTTGCTGTAGAAAATACATATGCTCTTATTTACTAAATACATCGAGAGTTCTCTGTGGATCAGTTTTAGAAAGATAATTATCATTATTACATGTCTTTGGAATAGAAACTGATCTTGTTTTTTTTAAATTCACAGCGTTTCATTCTTTGTATGCTCTGGTCTTATTTCAGTGTCTCCTATTCTCTAATAAGCCACCCTGAGATTTTAACTAATCCTTTTATTCAATAAATTGGGGTAGATTGTTCAAGGAGTGAAATCTGAAGAGGAAGAAAGCAACTTTTCGAGAAATAGGTTTCTTTTCTTAATTTTAACTAGTACGATTCTTTCTGGTGACAGTTCATATTTTAATATACTCTTCAAATAATTATCATAATCACCAAATGATTGATTTATTTGGATAAAATTCCTATAAACCAACCATGTTTCATATAACATCATGACATACATTTCTCAAACAACAAGAATTAATCACTCACTTCTCCAACCATTACCCTTCCCCAAATTGCCTTATTGATGTGATCTACAGAAAGTAACAGACTAAACGTGTAATTAGCTTTGAAAACAATTTCAGAGATATTAATTGAATAGAAATTAGTTCTCGCTTTACAGGGCCATGTTAATAGCAGTAGTAATTTTATTTACATCGACAAAAAATACGAATATTTTTCGTGGACATTACAACCAGTAATAAGGCTTATATTGAAAAGTTTTGAAAAGCATAATGAATCATGTTAATAAGTGAATCTTACAAGAAATTCTCTCAAAAATTTGCATCACTTCACCACGAAGCCAGCGTTTGACTTAATTTCCCATATTGAATTGTTAGTTTGAAACGAGCTTTCATAATAGTTGAACATTGATAATTCGGAGCATGTTTTTGGAAGAGATAATTAAAGTATTGATGTTTCTCTCTCTCGTTCTGATTGCAAATGGGACCGAAAGAGGGACATCCTCAAAGGGAGGCAACACATTACCAATTAGGAGAGGTCATGGTGGAAATAGCAAACTTGCAATCAGGAAAAAATCCGAAGAAAACGTTGTGAGAAAGATAATTGGACGTTACAAAAAGGAAAAAAAAGTGCAAAAAAAGCAACGAAGAAAAAGCACTCGTGAACATTTCTGTTAAAAAAACGAAAAGAATGCATCGCGAAAAATGGTTTCGAACTTAGAGAACAAAAAATAAAAGGGAGGAAAATTAGCCAAAAATTCATTTGCAATGATTTCGCAAGTAAAGACCTGAATAATAAATGGAAATTGAGTAAGACAAAAGACAGAATATCTATTTTTTCTTCATACATTTGCATATTCACACCAGTTATTTGATGTTTATCACTCGAGACTAAGTGACAGCAAGTTTCCTCAACTTATCTATAGCTTTCTAAGTCTTGCAAAGCTCAGCACTGTCAGTCACAATTATTCATAATTTATATTTTCTCCAATCTCAATTTCTAGTCTTAGCTTTGACAGGTATCGAGTGTGCCAGTTATCATGGACACGACCTACACGAACCAATGCATTTTATTTTTCCCAGTTACCGTCCTGTTAATTTTAATTTTCAGCTCTCTTCAACGTACGGTTCGCTGATACATCGACCTTCACGATCAGGCAGACATTTCTGCTATGAAATCCTCTAACATGCTCTTGCTTACAACTATTAATATTCCTCTATGATTGATAATACTAGACAATTTCTTTACAGATGAAGAGAAAATCTGAGGTGAGAGAAATCTGGTGCTAAAGAATGATGGCAAGATTATCATGCATGTAAACAACGAGGAAGTTTTAAGGAAAATGGAGAATTTGACACTAACGAGATATATCGAAGGCAAAGAGAACAGGGGATCCGGACCTAACAAACTTGTGAATATTTGGTAGAACAAGGAGTGAAATGGATAGGAAAAATGCAAATATTACTGAGAGATACAAAGGGTAGGAAGTTATGGAGGGTCATGATCTTCGACGTCCTGAAAGACAAAGAACATTGGGTCATCTCTTTGAACTTCAAAGTCCCAGATTTCTTATTTCATCATGTAAGACAGATTCGACTCTGCACATATACTGTTCATTTTTTTATAAGTAAAATGCTGTTGTTTGCGCATTTCTCACCTCGGACTGGTGTTTTTTCTCTCGTGCCACTTCTATAGCCTAATATCATCAAAACGTCCAATAATGACATCAATCGAGCCTATTTTTAAATTAATGCTAAGAAGTATTAAAGTATCAATCATCTCCTCAGCATTCGTAAAGAAACGAACATTTGCATTTACTCCTTTCCTTAAAAATATGCACTTTCGTTTGTTTTATTTTTTTAATCGTTATCATCCCATGCAAGGCAGTAAAGCCACTAAGACACAAGGGGTTACAGTGTGTTGAAGAATAAGAAACAGAAATATTAATAATGAACGGAAAGAGAAACGAGTAATCAGGAGGACAGCAGATAGCCATTGACATTGCTTTTGCATTTTTTGCAGGTTAAATTTGGCTAGAAAGCATGGAGCTGGAAGGGAGTTATACAAGCGAGAAGTGCGAAAAAAGAAACTGTTAGCATAGAACTTACGGCTAAATCTAGCTAGATCAACTGTAAATTGATGAGATCTTGATAACAGTCTAGTATTTTTTTTGTCTGTTCCAGTGTTTTCTGTTCAGAATTTGATTAGGGACTTGCCTCGTTAAATGTTGCTTTATCTTTGTTGCTTCTTTTGTTGATGCCTCGCCTTTTTAGTCAACCTGGATCATTTTGTAGCAGATTTTGTTTCAGTTTTCAAATTTCTCTCATGAAGTGTTTTCGTTGTTTAATAAGATTTAAATTTCATTATTATTATTTACTTTTTTTTTATAAAGTTTCTACTCATTGACAGTGTTTTCTTCATAACAAATTAAACATCTGTAACATTGTACATAAGCAATTATCTCTTCCTATCACTAATCGAACTCTAACAGATGTATTAAATATCTCACCAAACTTAAAACAATCTTTCTAGCTTTCTGTTTTATAAGTCCCTTTCTATTTACTTGAATTTTCGCTCCTATTTTTTCTTACCCTTTTCTGTCAATCACTCATAAGTTCGATCTCTCTGTTATCGATCTATCTATATAGGCTTACGACCACACCACGTTGAAACACCGGTTCCCGTACGATCAACAAAGTTAAGCAACGTCGAGCCTGGTCAGTACCTCGATTGGTGACCCCTTGGGAATACGAGGTGCTGTGTTGGTTGTATAACGAATAATGACTCAGAATTGTTAACCAAAGAGCCGAGTTCTAATTCTAGTTGGGTTCGTTATATTCACTTACGCGCAAATACCGTTGGGAAAAGTATGAATCTAACTTCTCCCCCAGCTATGGCTTAATTAGTAAAACTTGTGTGACTAAATCATTAATATCTCCAAAAGTTAAAAAAAATAAAATTGTTTACAAAAAAGACTTAGGTTTCGATATTAAATAACCAACAGACGTTGATATGCCGCTACAACAAAAACAACAGAATCTATCTATCTATCTATCTATCTATCTATCTATCTATCTATCTATCAAAAACATTATTTTAAAAAATAGATACAAAATTAATATTAAATACAAAAACATGAACTTCGAATTCTATTACCACTATTTGAGACAAAAACTACCCCAACTCCAAAAAAAAAACAAAATGTGCAGGAATTAAAGGCCTGGACTGATTGGATTTATTATGAAACAAAGAACGGCCAATCGATGACCAAAGTCGAATTGCCCAACCTGAATATTAACGAATTTCCGCGCAATTTGATTCATGTTCGGAATCGCAAATTGCACACATTTTTTCGTTCTTTTAAAAGATCCACCAGCAATATTATGACTTTGGAAATATAATTATTTCTTTTGATTTTTCACTGTTTTTTATGTTATTTTTTTTCAAATAAAGTATTTTGAATGAAGAATATATTTCAAAATTACCACTGTTTTGTAGCAAATTTAAAATTCTTATGATTTCTAAATTTGACGAAGGAAACATTATCGATAATTTCCATTCGTCATTTGTTACATTAAAGTTTGAAGATCTTCTAAAAATTGCGACTGTCAGTTTGTCTGCATTGAAAAAGTGGCTCAATTGTACCGTCTATGATTTGACAGCGAAAAGGTTCAACAATCTCTTAAACTATGCATAGTTATCGACTAAACATAAGTGAAATGAATCTGGTCAAAATTATTTGAAATTATGAGGAAAATATTTTCAAGGCAAGCTTTTACTTCCGTGAGGAAAGATATGATTGAATATATATATATATATATATATATATATATATATATATATATATATATATATATTTATTTAGGCAGCATCTTTTCAGTTATACAAGTTTCATTAAATAATATAGACAAGTGTTGTCTATTTATTTTATGTAAACTCTTTTCATAACGTCTAATAAGTTTAATAACATTATAACTGAACGAAGAAAGAAATTCACAATAGTGATCCATATTTTTTTTTAATTCAATCTAAGGTTTCGGCTTACATATGCCATTATCAAAGATGTCAATTACAACATATTAAGCAATATACAGACAAGACAGTGATGACTGTGAATGTTTACATAGATGATCTCTAAGCAACGATAAACATGTGAATATAAGACGCTAGAAGCGAAAATCGCACCGCATCTCATGACGTCACACATGACCACGCGAGAGTGAATTGGAAAAGTATGAAGTATGGAAAGCCGTTGGCACAAACCAATGGCCCTGTCACCAACTACAGACATTTAAGGATATTTGTAGAGATTCCATAGTTGATTTTGTTTAGGATGGGTTTCAAGTGTTTAATATATAATGCTTCAAGGATTTTTAGCTTTTGTCTATTGTTTTCATGTCGAAGTATAATTGTGTTTTCGACAAGTATTTTACGGAATTGTGTGTGCGGGCGGGCATGTTCTTTTAAATGCCTAAAAATGTTAGAGTTTTCCTTTCAATGTAGTGTCAAGCGTCGTGAAAGCGAGTTTGTGGTGTGACCAACATAAACATTATTTAAATCGTTGGAGATACAATCTCCCAAAGGGCACTTGAATTTATAAACTATGTTGGTTTTTTTGCAAATCGCTAACCGGGGGAGAAGAATCATTGCGAAGAATTAATCTAGTATATCCAACTTAATTCTTCGCAATGTTGTTTGGGGAACTTGTGGCACTTTGTGCACCAGGTCTCTGTATTCGGCCCTTAAAAAAGTGTGGTTGGTTCTGCACAAAGCCTTCACCATTATAATCGAATCACATGTGAAGATGCCTGGGTTGTCGTCTCCTAGGAACTGAGCTGCTTGACTTTCATACGTCGAATAAGACGGGAGAGCCCACTATATATATATATATATATATATATAGAGAGAGAGAGAGAGAGAGAGATAGATAGATATGTGTGTGTGTGTGTGTGTGTGTGTGTGTGTGTGTGTGTGTGTGTGTGTGTGTGTGTGTGTGTGTAAGACAAAAGGAAAGCTTTTCTTAGCCGATGCGTTTCCTCTTCTGATTGACTTTATCAAGGCAAATGTAAGGATTTTATTTTGAACAAATATTTATAAACAGAAGTAAAAATGTTAGTTTTCAGATCTCATAAATCATAAATATACTCCAGGCTGACAAAGTTTAGGTAAATTATGGAAGATGCTAAATGATGTAATTTAATGTTTAATAATTATGGAGGATGCTAAGTGATGTAATTTAATGTCTAATATGCGAAAGTGAGTAAATGCTGTTGTAGCAGTTGTGGAAATTTCTTATGTAATTATTTTATTTTAATTTGAGGAATTAATTTATGTTTTCTATTTGAAATAATAGGTTTTGAATTTAACCGTTTTCCTTTAATTTAAAAAATGTTTATAGTCATATATTTTGACTTGTGGAAAGGAGTATGTCTTTTAGGAAAGAAAATATTTTTAAAAACAAAAAACCTCGGGCATATTTATATTTTGCTAAAATTCAACAACATTTTTTGCTTTGGTTAATAAATATTAGTTGTAAAATAAAATTCTTACATTTTACTTGATAAAGTTCATCGGAGGACGAAACATGTCGGCTAATAAAAGTTTTTCCTTTGTCTTTATTGATATTGTCTTTTTACATGTATATTTTAGTTACATCTGAATTTATACAGATACATACACACCCCTGTTTGATTTCAGCTCAGCTGAAGGGAAGCGAAATTCTACTTCTCTTCATGAGACCTAGTAACACCTTACACCCATGAGTGTGCCCGTAGTGAAAATCCTAGCATACGAAAAGTTTAATCGACAAGCCGATGTTCTGGCCTTCACTTCCCCAACAGATATGGATTACATGTCTGGGTACACTCAAGCCACATGTGTTAACCAATATAAGAAAGAATTTCTTTGAATTCCAAGCTGTAGAGAATTCAACTGTAAACCCTTGAAATCTGTTTTGAAAAGTAATGACAACTCACAGATAACGGGAAATCAGTAAATTCAAAGGGTAAACACGACAAAACAAACATTATTGCACTAATTTCTGATATTTAAACAGCGAATAGTTTTCTGAATTGGCTTAATTATGAGAAACAAATCTTCAACTGGGTATTGAAACAGGCACTCACGAATGGACAAAATTACAAATCCCAGGTACTGAACACGTAAATTGTTCTAAAAGTAATAATATAGGTATTTTGAAAGAATGCTTACGCACATAGGTTATAAGATTATCATATATATATATATATATATATATATATATATATATATATATATATATATATATATATGAATAATCCTAAGAGCCAGGCAAACCTACCTAGCTTTCACTAAACGGATCTTCAGAGTAAAACTGGGTTTACCCTGAAGATCCGTTTAGGTGAAACCTAGGTAGGTTTGCCTGGCTCCTTAGGATTATTCTAGTTTATCGCTCTACTTAGCGTAATGAGCACTCTACGATTTAGTCTTTCTACTCGTTTGCTTTTTTTCTTTGGACTTTGGAGCTTAAGGACTTGACGATTAGTTTCGTGTTCTTTTTTTTATTTCTAATTTTTTACACGGGTACCGATTTGTTCTATTACAAGTATCCGAGGTTTTCCAAAGGTGTATTACCATATATATATATATGCGTGATTATGAATGTAAAAGCCTTAACTAAAACAAATTTTCATACATTTTATGTGTAAAGATACATTTTATTAAAAGATAGTAATAAACTTAATTAATTCTTATTTTAACAGAAATTAATGCATTTTTTTCATTTTAACTGATGAAAAAAGTATTCGTACAAAACAAAAAAGTATATTATCTTACTTTAATACTTTGTAGAATATCCTTTATTGAATTCAACAGCTACCAGTCTCAACTAATGATTTGCACACATTGAGTCGTATTTTGTCCCATTTTTCTTGGCATATTGTCTTCAAATTCTTGATATTTGTTGGTGCTCTTTTCCTAATTTGAATTTTCAAATATCGCCATAAATTATCGATTGGGTTCAAGTCTGGGGACTGACTTGGCCATTGCAAGACATCAACGTTACTTTCAGCTAACCATTTCCTTGTAGATCTAGCGGTATGCTTAGGATCATTATCCAGTTGGGAAACCCTATCAGGAGGTAGCCAATGTCTCTTAACAGAACGCATTAAATTGTCTTGCAGGATTTTCTGGTATCTTTCGGCATTCATCTTAGCATCTATTATTGATATTCTGCCAACACCTTTTGCAGAAAAACAGCCCCAGATCATGATACTGCCACCACCAAACTTTACCGTTGGCAACGTGTTCTTTGCTAAGTAGACTTCACCGTCCTTCCTCCACACATGATTTCGATAATTATGACCAAACAACTCTATTTTAGTTTCATCTGTCCATAGTACTTTTTCCAAAAACGAATATTCTTTATCCTTATGCCCTCTAACGAATTTTAGCCTAGCATCTTTGTGTCGTTTCAAGAGGAGAGGAGTCTTTCTTGGCATGCGTGATTTCAGACTGTTTTTGTGTAGTTCATTACTTATTGTACGCTTGGTTACTTTAATCCCTAATCCCTAGATGTTCCTGCAGCTCTTCTCGGGTAACCTGTGGATTTTGTTGAATCTGACGTCCTAATATCCTTGCATCTTAGAGAAATCTTCCTCGGAGCACCTGTTCGTCTTTGGTTTTCGACGCTGTTACGAGTTTTAAACCTTGCAATGAACGAAGCAGTTGTAGTAAAAGGAATATTCAGGTTGTTAGAAATCATTCTGTAACTGTTCCCATCTTT